TTCATGATAATAAAAACTGTTTGTAATTTACTGTTAATAGTTTTTCAGAGGAAGGAAGAAATCAGTATGTGCTGGAGTAGATTAAAAAACATTTGGAAAGAGTAGGACTTATATTTGTCTTAAAAAGTGGGAAAGACTTAAAAGAGGGAAAGGGAGAGGGCATTTCAGGTGCAGAGAACTGCAGGGACAAAGATGTGGGGACAGAAGTGTCTATAGTGCCTCTAAGGAATTCTGAAGAGAACTTTTTGGTTATAACAGAGGATGTTTGTTAAGAAATACTGAAATTATGTCCAGATAACTTAGAATCACATTGAGAAGAGCTTTGAAAGCCAGATAAAGGTAGTAAGTAGCCAAGACCTGTGGGAAGGTTTTGAGAAGCAACATTTAATTGTGGAGATTTTGTTTAAAAAAATTCCTTGGGTTATGATAACGGCGTTGTGGCAATGTAGGACGCTGCTGCCTGAAATTGTAGTATAAGAAGATAAGGAAAATTGAAACATTTTGAAGGAAAAATTGCACAATTTGGTAAGGAGTATGGAAGACTCAACAACGAGAGCAGTTTTGTGTTGGCAATCTGGAACAAAAATGTCATTATAAATAAAAAGAGGAGAGTTGACCAGGGCAATCTGACTAGGTGGGCAAAGATGGGACTGATTTAAAGTTTCAGCAAAATATTCAAGTGTAAGTTTCCTCAAGTCAGTTGGAGATAACTGGAGCAAAGATGGAAGGTTGGGGTTGGTGATGCTGATGGAGCCATTGTTTGCATGAAGGTCATAGTTGGACCGTCTGAAATTTTAATAGGTCTTGAGGATTGAATGTAGACAGAGAAATAACAATTACCCGGGGAGATTTGGGACACTGAAGGTTATAGAAATCAGGGGAAGAAAGAATTCCAAGAGCCTTCTTCATGCTTCCCCATTTCAAATGGTACCTCCATTCACAGTTACTCAGACCAAAACCTGGGGGTCGTCCTGAATTTCTCTCCTTCCTTCACACCCTGCACTGAACCCGTCAACCAGTCTTGCTGAATCAACCTTTAAACATATGCCCTGTTCTGCTGCCTCCACAGCTGCCACCCTGGCTAATTCAGCAACATCTCTCACCAGGGCTACAGTAATAGCCCTGTAAATGGTTTCACCGCTTCTGTTGCCCTCCACAGTCTAAAAATCTGAGTATTCCATCTAAAATATAAGTCAGATGATGCCATTCTCCTACTCAGAATCCTCCTATGGCTTCTGTTCACACTTAGAACAAAAGTCAGTGTCCTTACTGTGCCTCCAAGGCCCTAGTTGTTCTGGTCTGACCTCCTCTAAGTCCTCACCCGCTACCACTCATCCCCTCTCTCACTCCACTGTAGCCACCCTGACCTTCCGTGGCCTCCAACACCCTAAGCTTATTTTTGCTTCACAGCCTTTTCCTTCGCTGCGCGTAATGCCTGGACTTCACCACCACCCCAACCCCAGCAACACACATGTATTTTCATGACTTTGTTTTCTTCCATGAGTATATTGAGTGTCAGTTACTGTCCTAGACATTGGGGATGCACAGGAAATAAAATAGACAATCCTCCCAGTCGTCATGGTGCTTCCGTTCTAGTGGGGGAATCAGACAATAGACAAGACAGATAAGTAAAATATGTTGTGTGGTGGATGATGGTAAGCGCTAAGGAGAAAAATAAAGCAGGGGAAGGGCACAGGAAGTGTCAGTGTTGGGTGTGGTGAGCGTGAGATGTCATTTTATGAAGAGTGGCCAAGGAAGGCCTACTGAGGGGATCTTTGAGGAAAGACTAGAAAAAAGTTAGAGGAACAAACAAATCAATGGCAAACTAGTCAGAGACCTTGAGAGAGGAGAGTCCCTGGTGTGTTCGTGGAAGAGTGTCTAGAGAGGAGAAATGAGGGTGTAGAGGGAGAGCAGTGAGGCCTGAGAGGCACCTGGGCTCAGTTATGCAAGAACTCACAACATTCTCTTTCTCCTACCTCTGTTATTTTTCTTCACAGAACTTATGTTACCTGATATTATATTACATATCTTTTTATTTATTTAATGTTCTCTCTCCCTCACTAGAAAATAAGCTCCATAAAGGCCAGACTTTGTATTCTTCACCATAACAGCATCTGACCCATACTGAGAACTCAATTTTATTGAATAAGTTAATGAACAGAAGGGAGGAGCCTAGAACTAACATTAACTATGGGAGAGTGAGACAGGAGGGGCCTTTGAACTTGGCAGGAAGGCATTTACTGGTCTAATGGCCTTTCTGGGCCCTTGATAATAATAAATGCTTGGGGCAGAAGTGGAGGGGCAAAGAAATAGAAGGAAAGGACCAGATAAAGTGATGTCAACCTGTTCTTAAACTTCCTTAATAGCAATTGAATTAGACGAGTGTTACACAGCTGGCCGTGGTCTGTTCTTTTCCTCTCTCTAACATATTTATGGTTTATTTATCCTCTTAAATAGATACTTCACAAAATTGAGCATGTGGTATTATGCTGATCCATCACATCCCTTGGAGAACTGACAAATCCCACTCTGCTCATTGTTAACATAGTCTTAATTAAGGTATCTAAAACCCCATGTTAAGATTTAGCTATAATCTCATTTACTGTGTGGAAGGTGTTATCTGTTTCATGACCGAGGTAAAATCTTAGGAAAGAGATATCCCCAAACTGAATATGAAACACAGTTAAGCCTGAGTGACTGAAGAACATTTCTATAATGAAGAGATGTATGGGAAAGAGCTCTGTGAATAGTATCAAAATACCCAAGTCGTGTCACTGGAAAGACAACTGCCTGTCTTCCTGTCTCAGCTTGAAAAAATTCAGACCTTCAAAGCTACAAGTACATTGTAATAGAAGGGAGCATCCTATGAACTGAGGTATTTACACGATATTATTTAAAAGGAAGTACTGTAGGCTGTGAAATGTTTATCCAAAATCTTTTAAACATTTCTGTGCCAAAGAATAAAGAAAATCCAGGAAAGAAAAAGAAAAGAAGGAAATGAGATGGTAAAGAAGCAAGAGAGATGGTAAAGCTTTGTATGAATAACATTGTTGGTGTGAGGGGACGTATCTGATCCTCATGGAAACAGTCCCCAGGCAGAGCTCAAAGCAGAGAACTAAACAGTAACATGCAAAATTAATTAATTTCATGAGGCTCATTAACACCACCAACAAAAGTTCCCTGCTAGGAGCGCTGTCGTTTTTATTAATATCGGATACTTCCATTTTGTCTGATTTTCATCATAAGGAGGAGATGCCAAAGAAAATGAATTCATCCTGAGCAGGATCATCCTGGATTATAACAAAGTGGTTATAACTAAAGGCAATAAATAGTTCCTTTCGTAAGCTTATCTTGAGGTTACCGTTAACTGTCGTGGATAAATAGTCTATGCTGCTTATAAATTGGTCAAAAAAGTATTTAGCCCAAAGTTAGAGACACTGAATAACAAAGTATGTAGATTTTCCTTATGTATCAGCACGTCAGAAGAAAACTTTAAATTTTATGTCATATCGGAAATAGATAAGACATACATTTTAAGCTCATTTTGCAAAATGAACTTCTAAAAACTCTGTGCATTTTATTTACTTCCTGGAGCATGAATTTATTTCGAGTATAAGGAAAAATATTTTGAAATGGACCAGAGTAGCTTAGAATCAGTTTTATTTCTTTCTCCCTCCCTACAAGGCTTTCTTTCTCTAGATTTGGGTAAAACAGCAATGAGGGACAGCCTCATAGCTCTTTCGTTGCTAGGCTAAGCGTGTACCCGTTTAACCTGCATCCTGAGAGCACAGTTTCCAGAGTGCCATATGAAATATGCCTGTGTTTCCTGGAGCGGGGAAACGAGGGGTTAGTAGCTTCTCCCTTCCACGTTGGTTTAGCAGTTAGAGGGGACATGAGAGGCGAAGGACACATACACCCTGGGTGGGCTCCAAGAAACTGACAGCCCCACGCGTCCCACCAGGAAATGGAAGCTGGGAACACAGTTGTATCTGAGTGCATGTTCAGGGATCTTCAGATCAAGGGGCAGACAGGAGCTTTGCCTTACCCCTGCCTCTCCCATTTTCTTCTTTTACTGCACGTTCCCCCACCTTCTCACAGATTTACAAAATCCATAAAGAGAGCATTGTGGGTCTGTTTTCCTGAAGGGCATAAACTATCTCCCCTGCGCCCCACTCTGATCTAAAGAAGTTCGTTACCAAAATGTAAGTTTGTTTTGTGTGAGCCTTGCAAAATGGGTCTTACGGGATTCCGCAAGTGGTGGTAGACCTTGCTTCTGAATGGCACACTCCCCCCCACAACTCTCCCGTCCTCTCTTGTCCCTTACCCCCGACATCATACATGCACATCCTCTCACTCTCAGGTGCCAACAACCCTCCTGGCTCCTGCATGCAGCACGTTAAGGCTCTGCAACACCTTCTAGGCAGATTTCCTGGGATTCTGTCCAAAGACAAGGTGTCCCATCCCTCAACATTCCAAGTGCGCTCCCCATCCTCATCCTCATACGCTTTCCCATTATGCTTCGAGTCCTCAGGCCCCAGGCCCCAACCTCCCCAAAGTTTCCATTGCACTAATGTTGGGCTCATGCTCTGTGTCTGCTCTGTGGCAACCAGGGATGTGGTGAGCCTCCTCAGAACATCAGGGGCTCCATGGTTGTACCTGGGGAATCAGATACTTGGCTCGTTTGTTGGAGTCATTGTTACATCCATGCAAGATATGGACTCTTAAAAAATCTGCCCAAGTATTGGTGGAAATGTAAAAAATCCCTTTAAAGAAATGATAGAAGTAAATATGGCGATAATGCAATCCTCCTTGAGATGCACGCCAGTATAATTTTCTACAACACGTGTGGTTGTCTCCCTTCATAACACGCGTAAACTGTACTTCTGGCAACACTGTGGTCTCTCTCCTCTGATATGGGCACTGACATTCAAGGTCATTTTTGTACCCTATACTATGTCCTATGTTTTTGTACAGCTTTAAATAAAGAGTTTGTTTTTCAGGTTTTAGATAAAAGTGACACTGATGTTTCATTGAAACAAGAAAAAGAGGAAATTTCTCTTATGAAAAAAGGTAAAAAAAATTTCAGTTTACGTATTTTAGCTGTAATGTTTGAGTTGTTTTCCATATGACTTATGTGACATATCTTATGTGGGGTGTAGATCAGAAGTTTGGCAGCAGTTTGGATTTTAAAAAATTAAATTGTTGTTCCAGAGGTGGGAGGAGGGGCGGGTAGAGAGTGAGATGCCAACCTCACGTGTTTTGAAGGGACAGAGAGACACTTCCTGCCCAAGAATAGTGCCCCCAACACTGCCACACTGCCTGCAGTTCCCAACCATAGACTCATGTCACCATCTGCGTTGAATTCTATTTAGAAATTTGCTGAGGATTGACAGCAGGCCTGTAATTTTCAGAATCTGTTTTGAAAATTATAATGATGTTCTCCTATTTTCAATCACTTAGTCGTTTTCCTGCTTTTCATGATTCTTCTGAGATCACTAAGAGTAGTTCAGCAAACACATTTATTAGTTCCTTCTTTTCCATGGGATGTAATTTTTCTCAGGTGAGACGCTTGAACTTTTTTAAAACATAAAGTTGCCCTCTTATAATATTCAATCCAAAGACAATTTCCATGGATAGAGAAGCTGGAAACAAACTGGATTCAGAAAATTTTATTTTCTTAGTGTCCATTCATTATTATTACTATAATTCTTTTATGATGTATTATATTATACTGTTCTCTCTTTTATTTTAATATTGTACCTTTGGGCCTAAGCAACAAGTCCATTGTTTTCATTGTCATCTTTTTATTCTGAAATAAGTTTTAAGGCCTTAGTCTCCTTAGCAAATCTCAGCTCATTTTGGCTTCATCATTGCCAATCCTTTTTGTGTTGATCTGTGCCATCATTTTGTGTTTGCTTTGGTTGTAAGCTCTCCCTGCCTTCATACTTTGTTGCTTAGGTAACCTAATCAGTCATTCATTCACATCTTTATATTTGAACCCATTAGTGCAGTCCCTAAGAAATCACACAGTTTCTTTTTTATCTTAATTAGGATAATTTGCAGTTCCACAATCAGGATTTCTTTTGTAAGGGTCTCAATTATAAAGCCAATCTTTTACAGAAATTTCAAACTATTAACATGCCTTCAAGTATGTGCCTGTTGGATTTCCAAATTGTAATGGAAAAATTGTTAATACAATTTTGATCCTAAAATTAATATTTAATTTCAAATTCTCATCCTGGGTTTGGAAGGAACAAATTGTGAAATATTTTCAAATGACTGTAATTATGGATTACTTGGCTGTTGGGTTAAAAAATTTCACTTCGTATGCAAGTCGGTGAGTAAAACCATTGGTACCTGCCGTGTGCTTGGAAAACCTGTCTCTTCTGTTCTCTTTTATATTTCCTTAAAGGAGTCAGGCAGATCCTCAGCCATTTGCCCTTCACCTAAAACTTTCCTTGTTGCTGTTCTGTTCCAGCTGACCCTCAATGGCCCTAAACTTGTTGGCAAAAGTTTACTTGGTGGAACAAAATATTTGGACAGTTATCACAAGAATTCTAGAGATAGATGGAAGAAGGACACATTGACTTATTGCTTATACTGTCCCCAAGACACTCTTAAAACCAATCCAAGGGGATCGAGGCATTTCTGCTTCACTGTAGACCATAAACGAATCACTAGCCTCTCTGAACCTACAATTCTGAGATTCACTGAGTGAGAAGACCGACTAGATGAGTCTAGGTCTCTTCCTGCTTTAAAGTTCAACTCTCTACTGGAGACACATTTCTGATTGGGATCTGTCAGAATGTCTTTGAACCCAAACCCAAAATGGAATAGAGTGGGATACTAGGGGAAGACAGGTGGCTGTCTGGGCAGAGGCAGGTGAGAGAAGGGAATCTGAACAGTCCCGATCAGTCACCCTGTGCACACCCATAGCAGATAATAAGCATCATTAAAAAGAAATTACAAAGAAACAAGTTACAGAGGCTCTTGGATTACTATACACTATATACACTTTATTAAATGGGTATTATAAATTGCCTTAAGAACATATTGGTGCAATTTTACAAAAAGATGTTTGAATACAAAGCCAAATTATATACAAGTAGTTAATGAGCTGCTAACATTTCTTTCAGTTCACTTTATTGTGTGATCATCAAAATGTGATTGTTTTGTCTGTGTTCTTTTGAAGAAAAAGAGGAGCTGTGCAGTGATACTCCAGAAAGAAAGAGAAACTCTTCATTACCTAACTGGGAAAGGTGCATGTGCTGCAATTATACTAATTCCAAGTGAGTTCATTTGTACTGTTGAAAAGTAATTATCAGTGTTTAAATACAAGAAGAAAGAAAATAATAGCAACAAGCAAAGGCAATTAAGAATGGAACCAAATTTTACAAAGGAGACAAGAAAGAATAGAATATCCTAGATTTCTTACCTTTTTCTCAAACCTTTTCATTTTCTTTTGTGAGAATTTGGGAATAATGAAATGGAACAGGCTTAACGTCCTACTCACAGCGAGCAACTAATTCAAATGACTATAATGTAATCAAAGAACTGAAAATGTCACATATATATAAGGCATGACTATGAAATCATGAACCAGTTTATTGTGTGGATCATTATTTTATTGTCATATATGTATGTAATTATAATAATCATTGCATGCTAGAATTTTCTTGACATGAGACTTTTGTCACTTTTAAAATAAAATCAGCTGAATATTTTGGATATCCAGTAGAATGAAAAGAATGTTTTCAAGGAAGCAAATTCTTACCCTTGCTCGGCCACAGACTTGTGTAAGCTGCTTTCCAGGCATTCAGACCCAGCATCTGAATCCAAATCCTGTGCTCTTTTTGCATAGGAGCACAGTGAATTAAATGCAAGAAAAAGCCAAGAGGAGCTTTTATTTTGCTGCACTTGCTGACAGAGGAGTCACTCTAACACTTAATCCCGTCACTTCACTCTTCTACTCAAAGTCTTTCATAGCCCGTCACTTTTAAGATGTTAAAAATCCTTAGCATAGCTCAAGTCCACTTCATTCCTGCCTCTTCTTTAGCCCCCACTTTGCTTCCCAGTTTCTAAATTACTGTAGTTCTCTTTTATCACTTTGTCCACACTACTTCCTTTGCTTGAATGCCCTCTGCAACTTGTACGCCAGTCTCTTACCCTTTCATTCAAGGCTCAGGTCAAGTGTTCTCTCCTTTGGTCGCCCGGCTCTCCCAGGCACTCTCAGGTATTCACAGAGCCACTGTTGCAATGAATCAGATTGCATCATAAGTCATTCAATTTCAGTAATTACTTGTTAAATGCCAACTATGTTCTGACACACAATGGTGAGTGACATTTCATAGTTAAGTGGAGCTGTCTGTCTGAATATCTGTCTTCCCGTGGCATATAAGCTTCATTAAGGACAGGGGCCATATCTTTTCTTCTTCGTCACACTAAGCCCCTGAGAGGTCGTCCCTGACTACTCCATCTAAAATAGCCCACCTGACTTCTGACAAGGCACACTATCAAATCACGTCATCCTGTTTTATTTTTTCACAGCACTTATTACTTTAAAGTATCTTATTCAATCATCTATTTCTTTTAACGTTTTACATTCTAGCTTGCCTGTTTTGTGTATTTTCCTGTAGAAGTTGACTACTCTATGAGAGCAGACACTGTCCTGCTCAGCACTGTGTCCCTAGCATCCAGAATAGCACCTGACTCAAAGTTGGCACTCTATAATATTTGTTAATTGAATAAATGATCTGATTTTTTTTTCTAATTCTGTTGCTAGGCCATTTTATGGACAATGCTTTAACCTAGAGTTATTTATTAAAATTTGAGTTAAAATTTAAAATCCATTCAAAATTTGAAACATATTTTTTGTGTATGTGTATATATATGTGTGTTTGTGTGTTGTTTCATATATTATTTTTAGGTCTTTATGAGGCTGTGTTTTTTTAATCATCTTTGAATGGTAACTACAATATGAATGCTAGAACTATGATCCAATTACAACAATCTTAATGGAAGAATCTTGTCAAATGCATTGCTAGTGGTAGTGATGATAAAGATGATAATAATAATAATTAGGTACTATTTATTGAGTGCTTACTAATAGTAGGCATTGAGCAAAATTCTTTGTATATCTTGTTTAATCCTCAGCACAGCTCTATGAGGTAGGCACTATTGTTATTTGCAGAAGAAGAAACAGAGGTTCAGAGAGGAATCCTCTGTGCTCTAGTGTAGTGATTTTACCCTCCCCACCACCCCCCCAGCATGAATTTCCAGCACCCCTAAAATGGTAAAAAAAAAAATGGACTCAGCATAAAGGAGGACTTCAGCATAAAGGAGGTTATAATTAATGGATTCAGACATTGTGCAAGTATTCTTTAATAGACAATTAAGCATTAGTTATAATGTTCTCAATCTTAAATAAAATATCAGCTGAAGTTAGCATAATTAATGGCAAAGAACTGTTGACAGTAGAAGCACGTTCCATTTGATATAAACTATTATCCAACTTTTAAAAGGCCTGTACAATATAAACATATAAAACTCTCTGGAGCTGTGGTCCTAATTTATGGCTGTTAGCATGAAAGGATCACAAAAGTCTCCGTATTACTTGGCAAGCAAAACTTTGCATGATCTGACCCCTACCTTCCTACCCAGCTTCGTCTCCCACAGTGCACGTCCCCAAGCCCTCTTCTACTGTTTTGTCCCTGTAATCCTGAAAGCTTTGGGTCTCATTAACATGCTACCCTATTTTATGAATCCTCACTGTGAGTTATTTCCTATGCTGTAGCCAGTAATCATTTTAAATCGTGTATCGGATCACCTCGCTCCCAGGCAAGAAACTCTCCAGTGGTAGTGCCTGCTCTGCTTAGAATAAAACCCAGATTCCCCCCACTGTGACCTCATCTCTCTCCCTCTTCTTCCTGTGGGCTCCACTCCAACAGCTCTGGCCTGCTCACTCTTCTTTGAACAGCGATACCTCGTTTCTATTCCGGGATCATTACCCTTCACCTGGAACTCTTCTTCCTCCAGATTGTGACTCAAGATATCTCTTAACTGACTTCTTTCCTGTTTTATTTCTGTACATACCCTCTCTCATGCTAAAATAGAACTTTAATTTAAAAGCTGCTTTCAACAAATAAGAGATAAATGGTGTATGACTACTGTTGTTAGGCATAAATTACCACCAATTTCATTTCATTGTGGCTACCCAAAAACCTTGAAACAAGATTTGTCAGGAATAAATAGTAATTCTTCTAATTGAGAATTGATTTTATATAACTCTATAAAGGACCATTTTCAGCATTACATGTATGTCCTTGCTTTCATTTGTTGTGTATTAACATTTCATTTGTTGTATATGAACATTTCTGAATTTTTTAGTATCTAATATGATTCCTACTTTGAAATTATAAACCTTGGCTTGTTTTTGCCCAGTGTGCTCATGGAAGATTTAAATCCACGCTCTGGATGCAAAGCCAGAATTTCTGGGAGCGGTGCTTGTAAAGTTGCTTCTTCACAGGCAGTGTCTTCTCAAAGCACGTCTGTCAAGGAAACAGTGAGAAAACTGATGTCTAAATTAAGGTAAACATATTTACTAACATATTTCTTCATGCTTTGTTGAACTTTCTAAGCAGTGACAGCTCCTGATTTTTTTCCCTGTTCAGTAGTAACATTATTGAGAAAATTCAATAGAATGACTTTATGACTTGTCTCCTAACTACACTGATTTAGATATACCATGGGTTAAATGTCGCTTGGAATAGACATACAGTTGCTGACTGCCTATTGTTACATGGGCCAGCAAAATGGTGGATGTTAGTCCTCTCTCGAATGTAATGAAGAATTCTTACTGAATTTGTCATTTGCTTTTCTTTCCTTTTCTCTCTCTCACTTTCCTTCCTGCCTTCCTTCCTTCCTTTTATCCTTCCCTCTTTCTCTCCTTCTCCTTCTCATTGCCTCACAAAGACCCTCCCGACATTTGTATGGCCTTCTAAAAAGTCTCTTTTTGTAGCTTTAGATATTGAACTTATGAAGGGAAACTGAGTTTTACTTTTTTGTTCAGTGTAGAATGTTAACGTTTGTGGGCATGCTTATTTGGGGAATTTAGATGTCTGGATCTCAGTTCTCAAAAGATGGAGACAGAGAGGAGATAAAGTCCAGGATCCAGAGTTTTTCCAAATAGGGGCTGATGATGGGAGGGGCTTTGCGGTCAAGCCAAAGAAGCTGGTATACAGAAGAATGCTCTAGAATAGGTGTCATGTAAGAGGGCGGGGGCAGGAACAGTGACACCACTAACCTAGTGCAGCCACTTGGTTTGGTGGGGTTCGTAGACTGTGGGGGTCTGTGTGAGATCAGAGGCTCTGGGCCAAGGAGAACACACACATGCCCTAGCTGGAGAAGTGTTTTCACTTAGGAAAGTCACTTTGACTTTCTGATCACTGACTGACAAAATCTTTCTGAAGAAGAGAGTTGGTAAAGAGTAGAAGCAGGTGGAAAGAAAGAGAAGATAGAGATGGGGCATAGGAGCCACAGCCTCTACTCAGGCCCCAGGCTGTGGTTCTGTGTGTGAAAGGAGGCTGCTAACCACTGTAAGACGTGAACTCAAGTCTGCAGCTGCCCTGGACGTTGTGGAAGTTTCTGTGGCAGCATCCGGGGCTGTGGGGCTGGGCGTACATGGGTATGAAGGCCCCACCTACTGTCCTTTATGAACACACTCCTAACGCCAGTCCTGTCCCAGGAGAAAGGAGGACGCACTCTTGCTTATATGTAGGGGGATCTACCTTGGACTTTTCACTATGATACTAGGGATCCAGAAACAAGCTGTTGACCAAGAAATGAAGCCAGAGTGCTACATTCCTGAACACTAAGTTCTGTCCACCAAATCTGCCACAGGGCCTGGGTTGACAAGCTTATGCTAACCTCGGAATGCAACAGAAGCAGGCCAGCCCTCAGTGTTGTACAGATATTATGAGGTTGAAAAAGTTTGCTTGTCCAATGGTCTGGATAGATGCCAGTCTCGTACTGCCATGGCCTATAGTACAGGCCCTAAAGAAGGGGATTCTCCAACTAGTTTCTTACCTTCTGGCAGTGTCTGTCCAGAAGTAACATGTTAGATCCTCAGCTTTGAAGCTGCGTAGCTATAAATTTTCATCCTGGTTTGTTACTTACTAGTTCTAAGATTCAGGCATATAGTCAGTTACTAAGGCATGGTAGTATGTGGTAAATTATATATATATAATGTGCCTGTGTATATCTGAATAATTGCGTGCATATTATTAAAAATGCATCTATATGACCACATGTCCAATGATGGGGACATTGCTTAAAGTGAAGCAGGCCTTCTTGATGATAATAGTTGTCATTTTTGAGCCATTATTATATTTTAGGCATTCACCCAAGTGCTTTGTATATGTTAGCTCCTTACTCCCACAAACTTACGAGGTTGGTATTATTTTTAACCTTTTTTTATGGATGAAGAAATCAAAGCTTAGGAAAACTAAGTAACACACTCAAAGTCACAAAGACAATTACCCAGATACTAAGGACTGGCTGGGTTTAAGCCCACGCTCCCTGATTTGGAATCTCGTGCTCTTATCCACCATATGTATATATCTACATGTACATATACATATATCTACACACAGGTTAAAATATATATGTATGTGTACTTATGGAAGAGTGTGTATATATATATATAGACACACACACACACACTCTTTGCTACTCTCCACATTGTGAGGCCTGGAGAGACCCGTCTGGCCATGTTGCAGCAGAGTGTGGATGCACCACTGTGTATCATCATTTTTCTTATTTTTTACTTGGCTAATTTTTTTTCTGCATCTATGTGTATCATTACCATTAATTTTAATGAGTTACTTGTGATCAAGAAGGAGATAATTTGATTGAGTGTACCAAGAGTTTGAAGTCCATCCACTTCTATAATCAGACATCAATAGAAAATTAAAATTTCCCAGAAACCACCTCCCTAATGAACTTAGTGCTTGAAATCATCTTACTGTTTTCAACTGAACACTCTGAAAGCCAAATGCATTAATAAATCAGCTCTTTCCTGTAGCAGCTTGAACTTTTTGTGGTGATCATTTTATAAAGACATTCAGTGGAAGAAGACTTGCACAGAACACAGGGCTTTAACTGGAACAAAGAGAGCTCCTCATTTACCAATTTTCTCTTTTCCCTTTAGCAGCATATAGTGTGTTTTCTCGCATTTCACCAGTGCAAACAGATTCTTGTCACCTTTGTTATGGTTTTTTTTCCCTGTACTGGGCTATCCTGTATCTGGGTCCACGTGTTATTCCCTGTGTTAACTAGACTTTAAATTCCTCAAGACGTGGAGATTGTGGCTGGCTGCATACAATGTGGAGGGCGCCGAGTTCTTTACACTCACAATTGTTCACCAGATTTGCTTGCTTGTCACATGATAAGGAGAGTAGTCAGAGCCCTTTGAAGTCTGTGGAATGTTCCTCCACTTGATTCACTTTGGACGTGACATCATCCTCATCCATTGCTATGCCGCCAAAGTAGCCACCTCTGTTCAGTTCGTGTTAACAGAATAAATTAATAAGAAATAGTAGTTTTCATTCTCCATTTTCATCACCTGACTATGCTCAGTTTATCGTTTTCCTGTCTTATTTTTTGTCTTATGTGTATTAATTTGTTTAATCCGCAAATATAGTAACTTCTTGAAAACAGGTTGGGTTATCCACACCATGTCTAATATTTATCCGCAGACATTCAAAGAATACTTTTAAATTGAAAGGGATAAAAAGCAGTGAATGGTATTGCTGGATGTTAAAATATTTTCAAAATAATGGGATGTGACTAATTGTGTTAAGTTAGAAGTAAATAAACTAAACTAGGATCCAAACTATTAAATTTTATCAGATGGCCCTAAATATTGCAGTAGTATCCAGTTTCAAATCACTTTCAATAATAATAATAATAAATATTTATTATGCACTTACTATATGCCGGGGACTGTCCTGAGGGCTTTGTGTATGTTAACTCACTTAAACCTTACAACAACCCTATTAATAGATACTTTTATTGCCCCCATTTTACAGATGACAAAATCAAGGTATGTAGAGGTTAAGAAATTTGCCCAGCACTACACAGCTCTTAAGTGGGAGAGCTGGGATTGAATCCTGGCAGTCTGGCCTCACAGGCCTGCTCTTAACTGCTAACCTGTAATGCCTTGTTTCACTTTATTGTTGTATACGTAAACATGATAATAAGACAGACTTCATGTATTTCAGCTCTGCAAAAGGACAAACATGCTTTGTGTTATCTTAAATTTTAAAAATACCAAAAATAAATTTTTTAAAAAAGTCACTTTTTACAAGTAGCTGCCAATTACTGAAGGAAAAGAAAAGGCCACAGAAATAAATACACTAGCAATTGAAGTCTGTCAAATACCACGATCTGGTTCCTGGTTTTAGAAAGTGGAGCCACGCCATGTCTATTCCCTCCTAGTCTTTCTCTGTCACTGGGATGAAGTTTTGATCTCCCTGTAGTAGGAGCTTGCTCTTCTCCTTAGCTAAGATCAAGCTAATTAACGAGGTTACTGTTTAAAAGGAACAGCTGGATGACAGGCACCTCTGTGTATCCCTGCTCACATCTAGAAAGAGCGCAGTTGTGTTAATGCAAGCCGGAGATTTTTTTTTTTTTTTTTTTTTTTTTT